AACACCATTTTTATTTTGGTGCAAGTCATTAAGGAAATTGTTAGTATGTTAAGTGCTATCTACCAATGAAAAGGAAACCGCCCCACAGTGACACTTGGCAATGCCAGAATCAAACTAATCCAAAGCTTACCACATCTACCCCAGATTACACCCTGGGAAAACTCTTACCTGCTTCTCTGCACTGGGAATCTGGTTTGAATATTATTCTTTTTTTTTTTTTTACTTTTTTTTTTTTTTTTGGTAACAGGGATTGAACACAGAGGTACTTTAACACTGAGCCACTTCCCCAGCCCTTTTTTGTATTTCATTTAAAGACAGGATCTCACTGAGTAGTTTAGGGACTCACTAAGTTGCTGAACTCACTATCCTCCTGTCTCAGCCTCCTGATAGCAAAGTTTACCATCTTACTACATCTACTCCAGATTATTTTTATATTTTTATTCATTTATTTTTACCAGGGATTGAACACAGGGGTGCTTAACTATTGAGCCACATCCCCAGCCCCCCCTTTTTTTTTTTTTTTTTTTTTTTTTGAGACAGGGTCTCATTAAGGTGCTCAGGGCCTCGCTATTTGGCAACCTCCTGCCTCAGCCTCCTGAGTGGCTGGGATGACAGGCATGCGCCCCCATGCCCAACTGTCTATGATTTTTAAAGAAGGTGTCTCAGATGGTGGCTTTCTAGGTTAAGTAACTTAGCTCCTTTCTGTAAGAGCTAAGGTATTCTGCAGGGTTAAGGCTTTAAATTGTAGCACTCCCTTGGTGTATGGGACTAACAAGAAGCCAGACCTATCCGAGGTGGCACACAGCATCTCACTTGATAGGTCCCATGGCAGTGGCCTTACCTCCATCCCTGTGGCCTCTCTGCGGCCTCTCTGCAGTGGCTCTGCCACTCCCCCTTGTCCACAGTCTCTCAACATTCCCTCCACCAACAGCAGTCCTGAAACTCCCTGCCCTGAATTCTCCCTGCCGGTCCATCCACTGCTGGCTCATCTGTATTCCGAGAGAACTTTGTTTTCCTTTTCTTCCCTTCCCTCAATCCTTTTAATCCTCTAGTTCAAGCAATTAGCTCTACAAATATTAGCTGCAATCAAGGTCTAGCACATGTGGTAATTTTCCCTCTAATAAATCAATCAATTCTTTCTGTGGAGTGTTTTTCCCCCTTACAGTCATTAGAGAATTACAATACTACTTGAGGATCACCAGCAACTTGAATTAGTCAAGGAACGTCAATCAAATTTGCCAGATTTTGCTTTAAAGATGAGAAAAATGGGACAGATTCACAAAGGCCTCTTGTCTCAGAATAGGAAGCTTGATAAGCCCTTGTTGAATCTCTCTTAGGCCTTGAAGCATAATGATCCATTTGGAGAAAAATGAAAATCACCACTCCCAGTGACAAATCAGACAAAATGCAGAACCTCTCATTAAATAATCTAAAAATTAATAATTGGAATAATCCACTATGCAGTGTCCTTGGGCAGTGCAATAGTCCACACCAGCTAATAGGTTAGAACAGCAAAGGAAAAGACAAAGAATGCAGCACACAGACACATTTTAGTTCCATAACTTACAGAAAAAGTCTTTCTTTTAGTTTGAGGGAAACTAAAGATGCAAACCGAGCTTCTCAGTGCTGTGGGGCGGAGGAGGAGCTCTGGGGAGAAAGGCGCTAGGCTCAGGGAGGGCTCCCACACATCCCTCCCAGCATGGCCTCCTTCCCCACTCTTATCTGGCCCAGGAGTTCAGTGAAGGAAATGCCTTTTCTGCTCAGGGGTCATATGGAAGAAGTCACCTGTGTGGTCCAGGCGCTATTTTCATAAATATGTAAGATGAATCCCAGAGAAATTAAGGAATTCTTAGTGACAACCTGAAAACAGAGCCTCTTCCACTCCATACCCTGTCCCGCAGTCTATTAGGCTGGGGAGCAAATCAAGTGAGAATTGATCTGGGTCTAATTTTGGCTTTTGTTTTCAAATGGCCCGTACAACCCCCACCCCCAATTGGCTGAATCAGCACAAGGAGAGGCCTGACCGCTGCCCTGGGAGCAAAGCCCGACTGCAACTGTGCTCCTTTCTCTGCGGTCTTTCTAGTTGCTCTGAAAAATCATATCATTATCCAGCTCCCGAAGGGGGCCCAGGGTAGCGGGAGGCCTAGTTCCACTTTCTGATGTCACCAACTGTATTCCTATTAAGACTGAAAGAAGTAAGGATTTCAGAAGGGTACGTACTTACGTGGTGAAAACTTGCTGACGCTAATGACTCAAAGGCTCAGAGAGACTGAGAGGAGAATGTGTCATCACTGTCATTCAAGCCATCTGAGATGAAATCTCAAAAGACGGCTGTCAGGCATGAGTGCCAGCTCCCTCTGTCATCCTCAGAGGGCGGATCACACACTACTATGCAGCCCGTGGGTGGCGGAGGCTGGCGTTTGAAAGGAAGCTTCACAGAGAAGAGGCAAGGTGGGCGTGGGACCCGAGGGGGCTGTGCACATGACCAGGACACATCACTCCCGACGTTCACTGGCTGATCTGGGGTAGATCATGATCCAGGGCCTGGTCATCATTCTTGGGTGTGCTGAAACCCGACCCATTAAACACGCTCCTAGTACGACATGCTCTTGGGGCTGAAAATCTTCAGAAAAGCTTGAACTGTAAATATTAGTGCCTAGCTGTTAAGTTACCATGGGACTATTCCTCTGTGGTCCGCAGGATATCCGTGGCTGGGTATTCCTGCCTTGCGACACTGGCAGAGTCTTGTTAGCGATCAGAAGGTGGCCATGTGGGATGGGTGGTAGGGCAGGAGCTCTCCACCTCAGTGTACCTTGCCACCACCTAGGGCCACACTCTAAAATCGAATAAATCTAATCTCAGTGGGGAGAACGCAGACATCAATATGCTTAAATTCTCTCTGAGTGATTCCAACGAGCAGCCACAGCTGAGAACCACGCAGTTAGAGCAAAGGGTGGGTTTCAGGCCATTTTTAATTTGTCAGGTAAGGACATTAAAAATTCAAGTATCATTATTTCATTAAAGAAAGGAAATTTTAATAAGCATCAGGAAGGACATACTTCAGGATACAAGATGAATGAGTCGTCTTCCTCTTCCCATCTCTACAGACCCGAGATCATTTCCCTCTGAGCAGATGCAAACTTCAGAACTTAAGAGACCCGCCTTCTCTGTGGTCCACACTCGGGCCTCTCAGTGGACAGCTGAGACACACGGGGTGGGTTTTGGTTAACCAAACTCTGTGCAGTGCTCACTCTGCCTCTCTGGACACATCCTGTCCCCGGCAGTATGAATACCATAGAGTGAATCACAGGTAAGTTCCGCACCCAAGTTTGGAAATGCTGTCTTTTACAGTGACCAAATGTGTTGATTTAACAAGCTTAGCTCTCCTCAGACATCTTCAGCTAAGGTTTCTGGGGTGGGTGGGGCACATAGACCCTAGGTAAGTACTTACTAGGGGCACTAGTGCCCTCTTCTTGTACTATGACGACCATTACTCTAAATCCAGTGGAGAATTTATTAGATAGTAAAAAATCTGTAATGAGTTGTTTATTTGATATCAAGTTTCACAAAATAGAAAGGCTTACTTACATTGTGAAGCCCCGTTTTGAGTGCTTCCTGAGAATCCCTACACCTGTCCCTTCCCTGCCGGCTGTGGATTATGTTTCTCTCCTCTGCCCTGAAGGCACTCAGGTCTACAGTTAGCGTCAGCCTCCAGGAATCAATAAGATGGGGTAGCCCAGCTGACTTCACCTGTTCTCTTAGAGCACATCCCAAAGTTCCCTTCTGGGTGTGCTTAATGTAGACACTCATTTATGCCCAACAATGGTGACATAAATCTTCATTTATTAATTTCTTCTAAGCTGGCATGCTTAAAGGGGAATCAAGAGAATAGATACTAGAATTAATAAGTGCTCTGGGACAACATCAAAAGTTCTGCCTGCAGACATCTGTGTTCTTCAGAAACCAGATGCATAAAGGGCTACTCTGCCCTGGTTACGCCCAGCCGACTCAACTCCAAACAAAGAGCTTGCCATCTCTGCAAGATTGGGGGCTTTGCTTAGGACAACCCCAAAACCCAGAGTTTCAAGAACTGGATTTGAGCCCCAACTCCACTACCCTCTTCCACAAGCTGATCTCTCTGGCCTCAGTTGCCTTACCTATAAAATGGGGATATCGTCATCATCTCCTTCATTTTATGTGATCATTGTGAGAATTAATTCACATAATTTAGGTGAAACACTTAGCAAAGAGCCAGGCACACTGCGTTCGTACTAAAAGTGAACTTCCTACATTGGCGCTCAGTGTTGTGACATGGCGTTTGATAGCACACCTGTATCTGTTGGTAGAGAGAGGACTTCCATGGGACATCAGAGTTAAGAAGCTGTCACTGTATCCCGAGCTTTAGTTCTTAGCCACAGGTCAGCCAAACCTGTTTTGCTACATGATCCTGTTTGTGACTTTGTCTCTTGGCTCACCTTCTCTGGGACCCCAGTTCTTGTGGTGGATTCCATCTGACCACAATCCCTTTCCATTAAAATGCCCTCACCTTGACAGAGTCTCATGGTCTTTGCACCTAGAACCACAGTCCCTTGCTATGATTCAGAAGCAGCCAAACGCTCTGAAGGAACGTGATAAAACAGACGTGTCTGCCCATAGGTCTCCACATATTCACATGCCAGGAGGAACAGGAATCAAATTCTCTACTGATACATGGCTTCTCAACCACGGATCTGGAAGAGATGGAGGTGAGGGGGACACACTCTGGGGTACCCGTCTGGCAGCCAGGCAGGACCCAAGGCAGTGTGAGGCTTTCATTCCACTACAATTAAATCCTTAAGAAAAAAAATCAATGAACCACATTTACACATGCTCTCCGACCTCTGCCAAAGCACTCCGCCCCTCACCCGCCAAAACCAAAACCAAAACCGACAGAAAAACCCAGCAGCAAACAATCATCTTGAGTTGCTGAGCATCTGTGGGGACTCCAGCCACCCAGACGACAGCAGGCTGAGGCACAAGGTGCCTCTCAGGTTACAGGGAGGACTCCATCTGTTACCCTAGACCTTCTTACTAAGTGACACACGAGGAGACACCCGCAGGCAGCTGGAAGGAGTTTTATTTTATAGATCTTTTAGTCCGGAGATTTCAATTTAGAGAGAAGCAGTGGAAGGGGAGAGAAGGCAGGAATGAGTGACGAGGAAGCCTTTGTCCACTGACGTGCCACCTGGCAGGAGCCCCGTCCACAGTGGGGGTGCCCTGCAGCCAGCATCTGTCCCTTCATCGTCTATAATAGATGCAGCCAGAGGGGCAGGCCCTTCTCCGGGCGCACCAAGCTCTGCCTTTGAACTGCTCCTTCTGCAAGGCCATCTCTCATCATGCCAAACCAACAGAAGAAAATCATTTTCTGCGCGGCTGGTGTGTTAAGTTTCGTGTGTGCCCTCGGAGTTGTGACAGCCCTGGGAACACCATTGTGGATTAAAGCCACCATCCTCTGCAAAACCGGGGCTCTGCTTGTCAATGCCTCTGGGCAGGAGCTGGACAAGTTCAGGGGTGAGATGCAGTATGGACTTTTCCACGGACAGGGCGTGAGGCAGTGTGGGTTAGGAGCAAGGCCCTTTCGCTTCTCATGTAAGTAAGCATGGCGTCTGAATCCTTTAGAACTTTAGGAGTGCTCTTCCAACTGTGGCGAGGAATGGTGTGGGAGTCTCATCCAGTCTACTCCAGGACTGTTTAAACCCGTGTGAACGGTTTGAAATACCCAGGACTCTGAACAATTTCTTCTTCCTAGTTTTGATTGTTTAATTTGTTTATTTTGTTAATTTTTTCATTCTGGCTATTTTTATTATGAGAACATGTAGTTAATTCATTGCTTTGTAATTAAGCTTTTTGAAAGTATAAGCAATTAAGATTCTTAAATATTACTTTTTGTGTAGGAAATTATGGGGTCTTTTAAAAAGGGGAACTTGGGGAAATAGGAAAGCCTTAAGAAATGATTTGAATAATTTTCATGCCTTTGATCTTTAAAAGGGCCAGTGTCTGGCTCCTTAACTAGTCCTACCTGCCCGGACCTCAGCCCATCCCTGCTGAGACCTTTGCTCCTGCTAGCTGTCTGCTCTCACCTTTAATCAATTTAAAATCACTTGGCTACAGAAATTCAAAGTGATCTGCTGGGATGACTGGGAGAGAAATAATGCCTATTTAGTATAGAAAATTTGCAACTGATTGACCTTCCAATCATGTAGCAAATATGAGACAGATTTTCCTGTCGTGTTTTTCTGTGAAATGGAAGTGTTATCCACAGTATTTATAACCTGTTTATCTTAAGAAGAGAATTTAAAAAAAATTACCATGTGAATAGGCAACTCATTAAATGAAAATTAATAAGAAGTCATTTGTTATATCTCTCACAACACACATTCAAAAGTTATTATTATTTCAAAAGGGCTGGTTTGGAACAATCTCAGGAAGACAGTCAGTAAATTACTGCATAAATCACTCTTCAGGAAAGGAGGTTACCAATTGAGGCATTTAAAATGAATTATTATTTTGCCTGGGTTTCTTTTCTCCTGCAATATAGGTAGAAGGTGAAATTAATTGAATTTATTATTAACATATGCAGTGTCTAATTAAATTTCACTGCTGCCTATTTATTTTTCTGTAACATTCCTCATATTTTAGTCATGGGGCACCAACCTTCAACTCACACAGGCCACAAAGTGATATGAATTTTCATATCCAGAAAATCCCTAAGAATTCGTCTCTAGCTTTTCAAGACATTATCATGAACTAGGTTTGAGGAAGTGGACCCCGACTCTTTCTCAACTCTTTCTCCCAGTGGTTTTAGTTCACTAAGGTAATGGGGCTGCAGGCGTTGACCAGCTTTCCTTAGGGGGCGATTTGCAACTGTATTAAAAATGAAAAAGGAAAAAGGATGAGTGAGATGATTTAACCATGAGTCAGGGCTGCTAAAGCGTGATGCAGCTTCTCCAGATGACTTAGCCCACATCAGGGAACGCACAGGATAGGTTCTGGAACCCTTGCACTTACTGAGCTGAGACGGAGATAAACTTTACTCGACATGATTCAAAACAATAACGAGATGTTTTCTGGGCACTTACTGCGCATTAGGTTCTTGGCAGACTGCGTCTCCTTGAATCCTCTCACATTCTTGGGGCTAGATGGGTGACTTTAGTGGCCAGCCCTCCTGTGCTGATCCGTTTGCGAAGCTGTTCTAACCAGGTGCCCCTCTGCTTGCTTTCGGAGGACTAAAAGCCCCCAATCTGTCACAGAATTGCCTTAGTGTCCAGGATACCCTGAACCTCCTCCCCTTTCCAGAGATGTGCATCTGCATTGTGGTGGTGACCCTCTCTGTGTACCATAAACTGTGCCGTCCTCTGCATAAACCATGTGTAAGACACTTGTCAAAACGTCCCTCATTTTAGTGAGGCCCAGAGAAGGATACTAAAGTAACGTTTTTCTGTGGAAGCACAGAAGTTATCTTGTTCACTGGAAGGAAAAATAACATTGGGGAAACTGTAGAATAAACTGATCCAGAGAACTTCAAAGATCACGATGCTCACTTAAATAAGCATCCCTCTTAAAACTTTCTGGTCAATGTACCTTTGGGGCATATTTCACCCTTGGAAGTTTATGCTCCCATTACAATTGGCTTTCTGGTTCTCATTGTTCCATTTGAAATGCCTGTCACTCACTACAGTGAGTGGCCCAGGCCTGTAATCCCAGGGACTCAGGAGGCTGAGGCAGGAGGATTGCAAGTTCAAGGCCAGCATCAGCAATTTTGTGAAACGCTGTTTCAGAGTAAAAAATAAAATGGGTTGGGGATGTATCTCATTAATAAGAGTAATAAAGCAACCCTGGGTTCAATTCCTGGTTAAAAATGTTTCACTAGGCCATCTTCTAAGCAGGCGAGTGCCCTGCTTCTTACTAACAGGAGCATCCACCCTGCTGATATAAAGAATGAGAGCCTTACCCTGTCTCCTTCAGCATGGCTTTCTCCAGCAAGTCCAGGGCCTGTAGAGAGCTCAGGTCAATGACTCTTTCCCATTTCTTCTTGAACTGAACTGATGAAGAGGGCACAGCACATTTCCCAGAACTCCCCCCTTTTCCCATTGTTCCTTTAGAAAGTTCTTCCGTAGAAGCTGCCTGGGGTAGGAGCAATGGAGAAGGCAGCTGATCTAAGTGGCAGGTCCTGTCCTTGCACTGTCATTGGTTAGTATGACTCTATCTGCTGCTGCTGTATGGCTGAACTTTGCTTTCCCAGACTACAGCTAGATCAGCAATGGCCCACAGAAATACAACCCGAGCTGTCAATTCCAGCCATGTGTGTAATGAGAACCGTTCTAGTGGCCATGTGAGGGCACAGCAAGAAGTTGGAGCTCAAGTGAGCTCAGTGGTGTGTTTCCTCTAACCCAAGATATCCAGGATGCCACCGATTTAACATATAATCACTATTAAAAAAAGACTACCGGGATATTTTATTCTCTTTTGTTTTTCTTGTGCTGAATCTTTGAGTCTGGTGTGCATTTCTGGTGTGTGCACCCAATTCACACTAGCCACACTTCAATTTTCATGGCCCTTGAATGAACAGTATAGATTTAGATGTCGATGACCTCTGAATAAATCGGCCATTGACGATGTGCATGTTCTGAGTGCTCTTATGATCTTATTTTGGTTTGGTTTGGCTTGGCTCTGCTATACAGGTCTATGCGTGTGATTTTCATGTGTGATGTTTGTGTCGCTTTTAAACCCAGTATATGCCGTAAGGTGAGGATGTGGATTGGAGGAGACCAACAGGCTGGCGACATGGTCATATTTGTCCCTATTAGTGCTCCCTGCTGACCGCTCCATCTCTTTTAATTACAACAGGGCTCTGCCCTGCGAGCGGGCGAAGCTATGCTGGGAGAGCTTCTGCCTCATTTACTCTGGCGGATTCTCATCCACTGTGGGTCAGTGGTTCATTTTCTAGAGGTCACAGCATTCGTACCTAGGACACAATTCCATTCATTATAATGAAGGAATGTTTTCCTTCCAAGGCGGCATGACCAGCGGACTTAATTTTTCCTGATATGTCACCTGTAAAATTTTAATGATGATGTTTAAACTCCAAATGTAGCCAACAAGACAAAAAAACTGCCAGTTTGGAGCTCAGAGTGTGTGGGTGGGTTTCTGTTTTGGTGATTTGAAACACTGTGGAACATCATCAAAATGCGATACCCAAGAATCATATGGTATCAATCATTCCTCGATATACGGATGGATCTGTTCATTGCCAAGACAGTTCAATGAGCTGGTGAAAACATATGGAATCTCTTGCTTTTGAAATGTGAAAATAAAATTTAACCAGTCATGTATCACAGCTTGCAAATTTAGTCATCCTTTGAAAAGCATTTTAATTTGGACTTTATGATTAAAATTTTGTGAGACTCTTAAGAGAGATTTGGAAAATCTTCCCAGTTTTGAAGAGCAGAGTTTCGTTACCAGAGGAAGAACAGGACCGAACTCTGGAGGGGATGTAGAAACCACTTTGGTACTGCTCATGTGGCTTCCCCAGTGTATTTGGAACAGAATCCTGGGGACTCAGGGTCTCTGTGACCATGGTTGAGAGTTGGTACTTCACCTCTGTGGTCCCCTGTAAGCTTGCCTTTTGTGACCCAACCTGCCCCTGGTGACCCACTGGTCACCATTTGGACACTCTGCCTCTCTCCTATTGCCCTGCCTGAGGCGGAGGAGGAAGGCTTACTTGCCAGCCTGGCCCATGTGGGCCGCCAGCCTGTTAGCCCAGGGGCCCTGTTGTCCAGTCTCCTTCATCTAGGAAAACAGTCCAACAAGTAGAGTTTTCTTTTTATTGAAACAAAAGCAACCCAATGGAATACTGAGCAGTAATGTGTGAAAACAAAGACCTTGAACGTCTTCAGCCTGACAATCCTCTAGCCTTCCTAGACCTTGACATTTGCACGATTACTTCAGAACACCTGCAAGTATTTGAGAATGAGTATTCCCTGCAGGAGACCCTAGTCCCCAATAAGGCAGGGTGTGTATTATTCACCCTGGCACTCTGCAAACCGGGGCCTGAAATGGTGGGTACACAAAGAGTCCCTTCACAAATGTGGAGTTAGCCCTCGTGACCAGAGTGAAGCAAACTGGATGTGTGTGAGTCTCTCCATTTCTGGGCATTAGACAATCTCAGAAGCTCGCTGATTTTTTTTTTCTTGCATCTATAAAAAGGAGGTGAAACTAGGTGATTTCTTAACATCTCTTCCAGTTCAAATGCTCTATGATCTATAAAATGAGAGGCTGGCTGTTCTAGACAAGGTCCTCCCGGCTTTAAAACTGTGTGACCCTTCCTGTGTCTCTTGAAGTCTCCCTCCGTGGACGGATTTCAGCCTCATCATTAGGGTGGTGAGCTCACGGCCTTCACGCGCTCCTCAAACTCATACAATGGCTACTGGTAATCGGCGCCCAGACAAGTTTCCTTATCAGAGTGAGGCTGCTTTTCTTCCCTGTCACTGTCTTTTACTTTCTGGGTGGGACATCACAGATCAAAGAAGGTGCTAGTGGATGGTGGATTCTGGGTGGACAGGTCAGTGGGTTCCGGAGGGCAGGGGAAG